CACCCAGGTAGCCAACCGCCAACACAACTTACTGTTCCTCCATGTTTTTTAACCTCCTGTTCTTCCTACAGGCTTGGGTCCATCAGCAGGACACCTCCAGCTGGTAACGGCCCGAGGGGCGATGCAGAGTGCTGTGCCCGGGGGAAGGCAGGACGGGCAGCGGGGCGGGTGGGGAACGACAGCACGGGCCGCAGGAGGCAAAAGATGACACGCTTGTGCAAGGACTGATGCACAAGTTCAGAAATGCTGCCGAACAACCCCTATGCACAGCAGCTATATAGCATGTAAATGCCTTCCCCAGCCTTCCTCTTCTCTTTTTTCACTCCTGTGCCTCCTGTACGCTGCATGCCCTGTTATGTGGGTTTTGAGGCAGGGAGGCAAGGGACCGCGCTGGGGTGACTATAAAGAATAGGAAGAGGTGGAAAAATACATAAAACCCATACCATCTGTTCTCACAGTTTTATCACCCATCTCTTAGTGTTCGGCATTTTCCTCCAAGCTCCAGTGTCTGGCTTCACATCAATTCGTGGACCCCAGCTTTCATCTAAAAGAATTATAATTACACAACATTCCAGCTACTATTGATGTGGAGAAGTGCAATTCAGAATCCAAAATATTCATAATCCAGATGTTAAAAAAAAAAAACCAAAAGACTCTGACATTTATTATTTTGGAAAGCTCTTGATTTCTGAGTGAGCCATGATTTTCAGACAACCTGACGCATCATTTTTGAATGCTTCGGTTTGGCAGCCCTGTATATATTTAGTAATACAAACCCTGACTTGCAGCTTCCAATGAGAATCCTAATGGCATGATAAGACAGATTTTCATCTCATTCACGTCATTTCCAAATATCAGGAAATTTACTTAACAGGAAGAGTTGTAAAAGCTGTGAAATCGTCTCCCCGGGGAGGAGCAGAAACCTCCTGACCACACACTCAACAGCTGAACAAACCGAGAGAGAGCAGGCAGCAGCGAACGGCTCTACTTTCTGGCCAAGGGATAGAGCAGATGATCCCAGACACATTTTCCTCTTCATTTCTCCTGGCTCTGGGTATTGCTAATCAAATCCTCATACCACAGCCACTGGAGCCTCTCTCATATCCAACCGGAGAAACAGCAACTTCTGCAGGAGGAGCACACAGCTTCAAGGGAAAATGCTGTTGCAAACAATTTAGGACTTCACAAGGAGTAAGGAACCCGTGCCAGTCTTTGAGAATGCATTCAAAGCATCTTCATCCAGCAGTTGGAATTGCATTTTTAACATTAAAATCCCTTAGGCACTTGGAGTCTGTGAGATTTTTTTTTCCCATTGGTTATCAAGCAGTGGTATTAAAAATGATGTCTTTGGCAGCACAGGCAGCCTGAGTAGATGTGAGATGATTTTCATCTATTCATTCTAGACCATCTGCTTCTCACCCTCAACTTTCAAAGGCCTTGAATGAGATGTAGGCCACTGAATTTTATAGCTAAATTTCATGAACCCCTTTGAAAACAAACAGATTGCACAGAACACAAATTTAGAGACATCAAAGGGACCTTCCCTCTTCATGCAAGCACTAAAAGCAGTGCAAAGGGAACTAATTATAATTTGCTCTATTGCCAGTTTTCACACTGAAGCAAATACAAGCATTTTATGCTTTAAACCTTACAAACCCATGGCTGCCAGCTTAATATACTCCTAAAGCCAGGCCCAAATTAATAGACTAAAACCATCTTGCATCCACTCAGGCAACCAATGAAGCCAAAAGAGCTGGTAGGCTAGCTCATGGAAAAACTCTTTTTTTGTATCCCTCCTTTGTTTTTAAAAAAAAAAAATCAATATTTCTTTACATATTCAATAGCAATGTAAACACTAATTCAGCTTTTTCAAAAGCAAAGCTATTGCATAGATACTTTTTATTGAGATGATCTTCATTCATGCTGCCGACAGAGTCTGGAGGGAACACAATCGAAAAGGCAGCGCCTCGTAAAAAGTATGGGAGAGTTCAGGGATCTCGGCCAAACGTGGCTGACTCAGGATCTGCTGACTCGAGTGGCTCAAATCATTATGTAGACATGTGAGTTCCAGGCAGGCAATGGAGGGGAAGAGCTGCCCTAAATTATGAAGCAAGATCCAGGTGAAATTGTGAAAATCAAGGAAATTATTTTACAGCAGAACGTTAGGCTTCTAGTCCAAACACAGATCTGCACATATGCTTTGCAGCGAGGGTGATGGTGGGGTGGAGCGACCCTGACGCCACTTGAAATCAATGAAAAGTGAAGCTGGGGAAGAATTTCCCTTTGATATTTGATCCCTGCCCCACCAAGCCAACAAGCCCTGGGCCAAAGCAGGTACTGGCTGGCCAGGGCAGGAGCTTTTCCTGTTCCTCAGGGTAGCCTTAGACATCATTTTGCATCATCCAGAGATCTACAAGCTTTCTGATTTACAGTTCACAAAAATCCTAATGGAGCACCAACAAAGGTGTCAGTTTCCATACCCCAAGCTTTCAGGACATAGATTGGTGGGTATTGCTACACCAATAAAAGTCTCTAAAGGTGAATATTCCACATTCTTCATACTGTCAGTGGTGTAAGCAAAGCTGCTCGGACCCTGAGGCCATGGAGATGGGATCACATTTTGATGTTGAAGACAACTGGAATCAGTCCAGAAGGTCTCCAGAGCCCCAAGGACTAACACAACCAATGAAACCCTGGGATGATACCAACGTGCTGGCAAAAAGGTGTATCACTTACTGTTCTCCTGCACTTATCTCCAGGGAAAGAGAGGTCGTTCATAATCCTCAACAGCGGGAGAGTCAAAAAGCTGTCCATGCAAAATTAATAGGAAGTTTTGGTGCTCCCACTCTCAGTGGCCAGCTTACCCCTTGCCAAGCGAGCACTGCTGCAGTCATAATGCTGAGAAACTGAGTGGGAAACCGAGTGAAGAGTTGCCTAGGGTCATGTCTGCACACTACGCTTAATTCACACGAGTAAGATGCCACGGTGGCCCCCTCATGCAAATGCATTCATCCCTGTACCGTTTCTTCCTATATGGGAAAGCACTTCAAGCTAGCCTGTACGACAGGTTCTTGGATCGTTTTTCTGGATATCCGCTCTTCCTTCTCCCACTTATACTATACAACCTGTCTTTCCTCCTCTCTTGCCCCACTTTGAAGGAGGTGGGTATCTATAGATCAGCAAAGGGACAAGAGGCTGGCTGGCTGCAATGCGGCCAGAAGATGCCAATGGAAGGGAGGGAAGACCAGAGGATGAAGCTGTGCTTACATGAAAGAGGAGATGCAGGAAAGAAAGAGGGAGAACTGGTGTAACACACAAGCACAACGGCAAGAAGAGTCCAAGGGTAACTGAACCTCTGCCCCACCTGTCAAACAGTTCAGCAGATGGTTTAGGGGTAGAAGTAAAAGGGACTCAGTGAAGTAGAGAGGGCTCGGGTGGGAAGGGGTAGCACTTGCATGTAGAGCTCAGCTTTGATTTCTCATTTCTAACTTGGTCTCCCAGCAGGTGAGCACGTACATACTGGTGGGTCTGTGCTGTAACGGGGGTTGTACCTGTGTAATTTCCTTGACAAAGGCCTCTGCTCCCCTACATCACCTCCACAGTTGCAGCAGTGCAACGTCCGTGCAGAAGTGTCCCTCTCTGCTGTACCTCACCCTTTTCTCAAGTTAAAGCATGTGACTAGCCCTATAAAAACATGATCAGTTTTGCAAGAAGTTAGAAATCCTTCTCCTTCTCCAGTAATTCAAATCTGCCCAAGGATGAGGCTATAATCCTGACATACAGCTTCAAGCCCAGCAAGGAGTGCAAAGGTGTGCCAAGGAGCTACAGAGAAATCATCCAACTTCCAGAAGAGCAGGGAAATCACAGAACCATCTCCTAGAGCGTCTGGTTTCTACAAACCGCACTGAAAAATTGTCTCAGCCTGCCTGCAGCAGAGGCTTGAGGCTGCAGCCGATAAGAAGTGCCCCGTCAGTAATAAGCCCTTAAATCCAAACCAAACCAAGTCACCCTGTTTCTTAGATAAGGTTTATCGTTCTCATGGGAGAAAGTTGTCCTTTTGTGTTACCTGTTGGTCAACAACTCTGCTTTCAAGCAGTTTGCCAGCTCTGCAGCTCCCATCACAATAATGCTACAAATAATTTAAGCGCTACCACTTTGGATCAAAATTTTAATGAGGCACTAAACCCACAAAAGGGGCTCTGTATAGCATAATTAAATAGAATGGGCCTAAATAAACAGTAAGGTTTTACAAGTTACATTATAGTTGAAAACAGCTGGGAGGCAAAGAAAGGAGCATTGAAGATGTATGATGTAAAAAGGCATTTCACAGAATGCAAACACTAAAACTTTTCATATCGCACGAACAGTAAAACACTACGAGCACATGATTTCCCTTTGATTTGGAAGAATCTGTGTGGGGCACAGGGCATTTGTTTTTTTCCTTCTGCTAGTCAGCACAATGAAATATTTCACATGGAAACCGAAACGGTGGCAAAGAGAGCCATTTGTCCTTTGGAAAGAAATAAATACTGCAGAAACAGGTAAAGTCAGTAGGAACATCTGGTTCAGGCCATGGGATGCTGGATCACGGCTCCAGAATGCTGGACAGTGCTGGGACTCCTCAAAATAGTCTTGCAAACAATCAGAATGTAACAAGTCTGTTTGGCTCAGAGCTGCAAGACACTTATTTCATGCTCACGACGACTCCTCGAATCCACTGCAAACGGTGACATTCAGGCTGAGCCAACTAGCTCAGCATTCAATTCTCTGGCTGCATCAACTATTTACAATATCATGTTTGTTCCACCCCTGTCAATATTTGATCAAAGAGCTGCATAAACCCTACAAACACAGGAAGGTTTCAATTTCACATTAAGGTAACGTTGACAGTGGTGCTGCTGTATCGCATAAAGTCAGTGCACTGTTACTCCTTGAGAATGAAATTTCTGGTAAACTTGGTTTTCATTTCATTTCCCCCCAGTCCTCTCAGCAGCCCTTCCCCAGAGCTGTAGCTATTGCTGCAGTTCTGGGCTTGTGAATGAAAAGTTTCTAAATTCATCTTGGTTTATCATCGGAAGAATTCCTTCTTCAATGGGAGTCAGAACGGGCTCCTCTTTTATAAAATCTGGATCAAAGTTGCTCACGTCATCTTTGGATTTCTGTCAAATGGAAAAGACAAAGGAAAGAGATGTCAAAAATACGTATCATCTGCTCGATACTCGCTCTGCATCTTTATTCTGGTCTTGCGTGCAATGAACCATCACCTCCATAACCCAGGCTGAGCTTACTGAAAGCTTTTTCTGGGGTTGGACTGGGAGGAGCTGAGTGTCCCCCCCAGAGCCTCTTATGCAAAGCCTTTTAGAACCTCTGCAGGCTTCTGACAGGGAAACCCCTCTCTGGTTTAACTGACGCCACCTCTGACAGGTTGCCTGCCCGGACATGGCAGGGCAGGGCACGTAAGTCAGTTCCTTTCCTCAAGTGGCAGCACAGACCCAGCCATTCGAAGCAGTTATCATCAGCCGTGTTTCCAATTAGCCGACTCCACACAGTCCCTCCTCATCTGCAGAGTGTCTCAGCTGGGTTTTGGCGGATGGGGGGTGGTACAATCCTCTATGTGTGAGCCATTAAACTTGCACAATAATGAATTACTGGGCTGTGGGAAGACAAATGGCTTGCCTCCAGGTGCTGGATTCCTTGCTGCGCACCACAAAGTGGGACTGTTTACAATGCACACACACAAACTGGGTCTGTGGCACATTTTGACAAGGCGTGTGTTTTTCCTGCATCCAGAACAAGATGTTTTATTGACACTGAAGTCTAACGTTCCCAGATCCTGTCCAGCTCATGGTGGACTGAGGAGGCTTCTTTAGCCTTTGGTTCAGGTCAAGAAACAACTCAAGAGCCTGATCTTGAGCTGCCACAGCTCCCCCGAGTGCCTGATCCTGCACCCAGTGATCTTCATGGAGCAGGACTGGGTTGACCATTGCCACTAAGAGCTTGCAGAGTGACCACAGCATGAGACAAAGCCACTCCAGTCGACAATTTCAAAGGCAAGGAAGCCACAGACAACCTTGGAAAGGCTCTCCATGGAGAGCAGCACTCTTCTATCACAGAGCATCCTTAGGGCTGTGTGGCACCACTGGGAAAAGGGGCAGCACTGTGTCCTCTGCAGCCTGTCTGCCATTTGAACCACTCAGCTGACAGTGGCCTGAGCAGGGAACACTGTGCTGGGTGCTGCACAGAGAGAAAGACAAGAGAGAGACAGCTCAGTTCTGAAGGGGTAGGTGGAGTAGGCAGGATGAGGATTACTTACCCTGTTTTATATTTGGGGCAAGGCAAAGGGTAGTCAGGTGCCTAATCTGCTGCAGTTGCTTTTACAAACCTGCATCTTTTGGCTGAGCTGCCTTTGAAAATCCAGCATGGAGGGGAAAAGCAACCTGTACAACATCAGGTGGCCAACCAGCAGCCAAGCCAAGACCAGAGACCTCACCTCCCAGCTCCTGGGCCAAGGCTTTTGTGTCAAGGTTGCCCTTCCTTCACCTCCTTTCCTGTCTCCCGGGAATAAACCTGCTTATAGAGCCCAGAAGAGAAAAAAACCCCAGGGATCCCTTTCTCCCACCCCTCCTTCCCACGTACAATTCGGGGCCTGAACGGTGGCTCCATCTGACGCTGGTTCAGCAGGTCCCAGTCCAGATCTTTGAAGTAGGGGTGCCGCAGAATCGCGCTCTCGCCGCCCAGACCCAGGCTGCCCAGGCGCATGTTGGGGTTCTTCGTCATGAACTGCAAAACAAAAAGGGCTGTTTGTTTCCTCCCATCCGGCAGGGCCACGGGAGAGGGACCTATTAGCAGTCGCACAAAAGCTTGTCCTCAGCTTTCCTGTTGAACTCAGCTGCTGGCCAGACTTCTCAATTTCATTGTACTGGAACTGCATGCAAGGAACTTGACTCATTCTCTAGAGGAAGAAGTCGGGGTGTATTTCTCCTTGGTCCCTTTTCTTTTGGTCAAATCCTTGGTTATCACAATAAGAAAAGAAAGTTGAATTGTATCGTTTGCAACATTATAAACGTTGCACAATGGTTTCAGTGGTTATTTATTTCTGTATTAATTTCTCAGGAATACAAGCTCACTCTCAAACGCTGCTCACCAGCCAGCCAGGCTTTGGACTGGAGTCAGTCCTGAGCTGTGTCTTTTTCCTAAACCTCAGCCTGCTGAAGCGCAGCCAGAAGCCTACGCTTTCCTTCCTGTCATCTCAGGAAACAGAGGGAAATGAGCAAGGCACTGGCTTTTAGAGCCCCCCAAACCCTGAGCAGACGAGAGCAGACAGGCGACCATCTCCTCTCTCGATGGTGAAACTCTGAAAAAGGGTTTCTTTCTGTAACATTTTTACTCTGCTACCAGTGAAAAGAAATCTCAAACCTCAGCCGAAGTGCCCTGATTTGCCAGGGAGCAATGAGAAAAGCCGTACATCATGCACACAGTGCGAGAGGGCCCTGGCGGGTGCCCTTTAGGTCCCGACAAGAATGATGAAGTGTGAGTGCTGCAGATATTTCTTAAGGGAAAGGGAAATATTGGGGGAGGAGGGGAATCCTTTCCCCAGGCAGGAAAAGAGCTAGTTGGCTTGTTAATTTAGGATTATAGTTCTTAAAAATTCAGTAAAACCCAATCTTTCCCCTCCCCTCGAGTATTTCTAATTCATTGGAGAAATCAGGTTATGTTTAAACTGGGAAAATAGCCGCTTTTATTTGCCTATTGAAACAGCAGCATAAAGCAAGCTCCACTCTGGTGGAGGTGTCCAGACGATTTCCTTGAAGATGAAAGAGCATTATGTTTAGCAAATAGCTGAACCAGCCAAACCAGACAATCGGTCACTGTTTCAGGAATGACCAAGTCTGCTGCACCTCGGCAATGGGGAAATGAAAAGAAGGGGAGGTGCAGTGAGAGACCAACTTCATTCTGACTGTAGGAGCTTTTCAGAAGGTACAAATTCTCCTAGGATGAGCGGATAACAGGTCTAGTCATTCCCTACCTAGAGAGACGATGGGGAGAAGAAAGACAACTGCCAGATTTATTTTAGAAGTCTCCCCAGTACCCCATCCTGAGGGGACTTCAGAGCAAAAGTAGATGGGGCATCTGCAGCTGAGACTCTGCAGGACCCCAGACTCTGCTGACATTAGCACAAAAACCCCAGCTCCAGCCTGACCTCCTGAGCCCTTCGAGGACGTGTGCTGCCAGGGGATTCCCTACGGCAGAACTGTTTTCCACCATTCCACCCAAAACATCAGTAGAGCGAGCTGCCGAGTGCATCCAGATTTGTAAGAGCAGTCACCAGGAGAGGAGCAAAGCTGACGTGGCTCTCTGCAACTGGGGTCTTTCCCATGCTTCTCTGGATTCTTCAGCCCTCAGTTATGCAGCATTTCCAGGGTCAGGCCCAAGGACAAGCAGAACTTCCCTGTCTCCCCACCCCTTTCAACCCGTTCTTCTCCCTTTCTAGCAGCAGAACCCAAACACAATTTGTTTCCCAAAAGACTCTGCCCCAAAATTTCTGTGGGATACTGATCCTCAGACAACAGCTTGGTTTCCAAACAAGAAATGGGCCAAGCCAAAATCTCTGAGACCTGGTTCAGACAAGCCTTTGGAATTCTTGAACTAAACTTCTTTGGTTTCCAAAACAGGCCAGAAATCTCCTGGCAGCCCCATCTTTCTCTAGAAATTCCCTGCCCAGCTTCTTTGTCCCCACAGATGGATATCTGCACCTCACTAGCTCTTATTTGCACTGCTGGAACACCTAGAAAGCTCAAACAAGATCAGAGCTCGCTGGTGCTGAAAGTGGGATAGACCAAAACAGCCCAAAAAGACAAGACAAAGAGAAGAGAAGGAGAGCTGGGAATAAGTCCCATGTCTCCTGGCTCTTGACCTACCGCCGCCTCCATTACACCAGGAAGCTTCTGCTAAATCTGGGGGGGGGGAAATCACGAAAGCAGATAATCTCTGAAAAGGGCCGGTAACATGCTTTGCTTGGGTTCCTATTCATGCTCAACCATATAAGACCAAAACCTAAACTGGACCGCCCATTCCCAGACCAGTTCAGAGCCCTGGGATATAAAAGTGTGTTTACATTCCGATTTGCTTGCTTTATTCCACATGATGCCAAAATTGCACCAAGTGAAGGCATCCGATGCAACAAACTGAAAGCCAATATAAATGCATTCCTGGCTGCTTAAAACACCCTTTTTGTTAGGACAATGAGGATTAGCCAAGGGCCATCCCTTGAGGTGGGCTGTTTTGAGCCCTGAAAAACCAAAATATAACATTCAAACCAAAATGACTGTTCCAATTTGACCGGCCAGCTCTAATTTGTGCATTGGACCCGCAGATTGAGAAACCTCAGTTGGGTAACTCTAGGCACCATCTACCCCGTGTTGGGTGCTCAAAGGAGGCAGGAGGAGAGCGAAGGCTGCAAATTCATCTACTGCTGGAACACATCCCCCCGTCTGGCTTCTGAGAGCAATGCCAGGTTGCCACAAACCCCCTCTGAATTAATCCTTGCCTCTGACAGGAGTGAGCTGACCTATGGGACACCCGATCAAACAGCACCTTCCCCAGCTGTCAGGCACGAGCTCAGTGCTGCTGGCTCTCTTGCTCTGTAAAAACAGGGCTTTGAAGCACAAGTGTACCAAGGGCTGGAGTGATCCACCAGCACCCTAAACCACTCTGGACAGGTTTCTCTAAGCTTGTTTCCCAGGTACTGCAACCCCCTAATGCAGGCTAGCAGGACCCTGAAAGTGAATATAAGTCACGCACTCTAAAAAGAGTGTCAACGCAGCATATGAAGAGGTCTCCCTTTCATGGCAGTCAAACTCATGCTGACCTGCTCCAACAAAAGGGTGGGATATAATTTCAAAGGACGGTTGGTCTCTTATCGTTAACTTACATCCCTGATAAACGTATTGTACGCTGTGCCGAGACCTCTCAATTGCATCTGTGCATGGGAACCAGCACTGAAAATGTTTTCTTTAAACATCATTATGCAGTACATGAAATACATTCCTGTATTCTGCGCAGCCGCAACATCCCTGCAGGTTACTCAGCCTGTGGATGTACACACGCCTCCACACCCGGGGGCTGTGACAGAAAATGAAAGATTGGCCATTGCTGTTCTTCCCTTACATAAAATCTCCTGGTGAATTTTGGAAATGGCCGGTCTGTCACAGCCTGGTAAAGGTGGGGTGTTTTCTCTGGGAAGCAGCTCCAGTCTTTTTTTGACAATTGGGCTGAAAAGCAGGCGTGCAAGCCGTGACTCCAGCAGAGACAGTACTGATGCTTTGCACTGGAACAGTTACCTGCCTTACTGTAAGAGGTATATAAAATTAAACGATGAAAATTTTGAACCCAGTTTCCACTAAAATGAGTAACTAACCCTCTCAAGCACTATTTGAATTCACCAGAAATTAATACACTGACAAAGAAGTAGATGAAGTTTTAGTTTGTGTTGTCCAGTATGTCAGGAAAAAACAAAAGACTATAATGACCTCTCAAAGGCTCAAAAGCCCATGAATCCTTTTCTTTCTCTCTCTCTTCCTTAGGCAGTACTGACATTTCTCTGCTGCAGTAGGGTAACATCTGACGGCCAATCTCATGCCGCCTCTGCTATCTGATGGCACTTCTAGCACAGCAAACAAAGAACTTTGGATTTCTGAGGAACTTAATTAGAAGCCCAGCCTTCATCTCTGAGATAAGCAGCTGGAGCCCGTACCCACGTCTCTGACCACATAAGAAGCAATTCTGAACCGAACAGCAGCAGGAGGGGTAAAGCTGTGTGCCCAGAGCACACGGACGCTGCCCTCTGCACACATGCAGGCTGTGCAGGGGAAAGGTTTTCAGAAGTGCAGCTAATCTTTCACCTGATCCCTTCGGCTGCATTCAGAAACAGCTGGGAAATGTCTTACGAAGTGTTGGCTGTTCCTGGCATCCATGGGAAGGCCAGAGTTGGACTCTTGCTTCACAAGTTGGACAGCCCTGAACGTCCTTCCAAGTACAACCCTCCAATGTTTTTGCAGGGGATGAGAGAAGATGTTCAGCAGAAAGTTTTTCATGGCGAAATGTCATCTCCTAATGTTTACTGAGTATCTCTAATTTTGCATGATAATCCAGAATCCAGCATGTTTCTCGACCTCTGGCACACAGAGCCCAGTGAAGAAACACAGAAAAAAATTCAACAGTAACAACAAGGCAAACCAGAGATGTTCCTGAGCAAAAAGAAACATGTAATCACCAAAATCCAAGATGCCTCCCAGCAAAACCAAGAGCAAGGCTATCAATCTTAAACTTGAACCAAGCCATCAAGCCCTCACTCTGTGACCACATCCAACCGCGGGGAATTATCCCATTCCCCGTGTAAAGAGCCCCTTGGGAACATCCTCAGACAGGGTCCCTTTGGGCTACACCGGTTTGCCGAGCAGCAAACCCGAGCAAGGCTCTCACTGACCTCAGCTAACCCTCTCAGCAGCATCGCAGCCAAAATCAGCAGCTGGAATGAGCCAAAAACATGACTTCACGAAATCATTTGCAAACATTTACTGAAAGAAAATGCAGCAAGCCATGACAAGAAATTAAAAACTGGGGATTAGTCCATGGAGGGCCCATGAAGTTACAAGGGAAAAAATGCAGACATAGCAGTGCCAACTGTTGGGAAAAATCTGCATCAGCCCTGGGAGCTCAGCCCGCGAGCAGGTGAGGGAGAGCAGGGGACCCGCACCAGTCCTCCCCCTTCACCCACTACA